AACAATTACATTATGAAAAAGTGACACTAGCCCATATGTTTTAATTAATCGGCATGACAGAACAACCAATTATTAAGTCAAATTATTGAAACATATAAGAACGGAACATTTAATTTTGGCAATATTTTTCAGCAATCTTCCCGGAAAATGTGAACTTATATATGATCTATATTGAAAAAAAAACCGTGACAGTTTTCAAGTTAAAAATTCATCTTTCTTAATTTTCCTAAAAAAGACAAAATGACGACGGAAGATCGGAAGCAATAATATTTTAAATTAAAATAATGAATTAGATAATAGGTACAGTGAATGAAAGAGTATACTGTCATTTTGTTATTTATAGAAGGAGTAAATGATAGATGATAAATGAGGAAAGAACAAATACAGAGAGGTGAGAGCGAAGAAATGACAGAAAAAAAGGAAACAGCAGCAAGAAAGGAATGAATGGTTGGTTGACTGGGGAAATGACCATAAGATAATCATTGCCCATACCCCGGTCATCAACCACCTTGTATGTCCATCAGTGGAACTAACGTTGTAAACAATCTTAAAGATATCATCGTTCTGACATAAATAAAAGTGTTATATCGCCAATACGAAAATCCTTCGTCAAAGTACAGTTTCTATGTCAATTACAGTTCTTTTTTCTCCGTCTTTTCATTTTAAGAAATCTGATTAGAATGCACCGAGGCTATTTCTCGAATAATACCTAATTTTTTACCTTTTCCTCTGAATTTCTTAAATGACGTTCTGGAAATACTGTAATCAGTAGTGAAAAAAATTTCAATATGTGAATTCAACACAGAATAATTGAATATATATTTCAAATAACTTCAAGTAACGAAATGACGGAATTTACGTGGTCTGGACGGTAAGATGACACCATTATTTTCGTTATACAGATAGAATACTGTTAAGAAAAACTAATTTCTATTGGTATTAAATAAAGAGTACAGAACTCTTTGACCTCGAATATACGATCTACCATAGGATATCATCGTCACTCGCTAATTTAATACATCCCGAACCTCTATCACCGACGGAGATATTGAATGCGAAAGTTAGAATCAATGTTGCAGAGCTGCAATAACGGGATGATACCGTAACCATTGCAACAAATGACATCGTAGTGAAGGAATGGTTCAGCTTGGCTGAATGCCAGATACACCTGACTTGCAAATAGCAATTATTGATTCTGAAATTGTCGTCGTTTTTTATCCCTGTGCTCGCAGTAGCGTTATTGTTAGCCAAGTTGAAGGTGTTGGCCAAGTGAGTGGTGTTGGGTCGGCGATCCAATAAGACTATGGATGATTCTTCCTACTGTTACCTTTAAATCTCATAAAATTTTAGTGGAATAATTGGTTATTGTATATATATTTAGTTATATTAAATTCTGTTTTGTTAGCATTTATCATTTTAGAATACGAATGTTTGTCCTTTCCGAAAATTAACAAACACCATCGAATTATTTCAGGAAACAACCAATTAAAGATGATGAATTGTCAGGAAAGCTTTATTATAAGCATGCTAATTTTTGATGACACATGTTGATTTTATTTCAACTTACCAGATTACTGTATTTCTTTTTTTTGAAAGCGAAATACAAACTCATCACAAATATATTTGGGAATATTTCTGTAACATCCATTTAGTGAGATCAGTATGATTCAGTTTTATGTACAGTACGTTTTTTTACTGCGATGCGACGTGATTTTTTGTAGAGAATGTTTTTAATATGATGTCGTTCTATGTCAAACTTCGCTTCTTGTTGATATCCATCTGAGAAGAGACTAATGGTGCTAACCGTCGTGTATAACGCTCCCTAAACTATTCATTTGCTAAATTGTTGATTACTTCTGCACGCTTTAGTTCAGCTCCCGTTATTTATGATGAAATGCCCACAAATATATACTGTGTTGATTAGCTGATTAATTAGCCCGAATAGTTGTCATTGTCGTATATATTGAAACCAGTTTAGCTTTTTCCATAAAAGATCACATGGTTTGGGAATGTTTCTTTACTGAACATTTCCAGCAGTTCCTCTTTGGTCTTAAGATATCTCACCATTGAATGGCCTGTTATTTCAACTATTTTCTGTCTGATACATCGAATTGGATGACATTGATTGGAGCGGTCCTGATAGAGGAACTCGATTAGTTCTCTGCCCAATTCTAAAATAAATATGTGATTTCTCATCAAACTATATTGATCAGATCCATTTTCAGGAATGACGCATATCTGAAAAAGTATTCATCCAGTGGATGGTGCATTTTTAGCTGTTCCGCAGCATATTATTTCATTTTTTTTCTACTAATCACTTGTTCGGTTGATTGGTAATGACTGATCAAGCAACTATTATTTCTGATACTACTTGTAAACAGCAACAGCAGCAGTTACTGCAGCAGCAACAGCTGTTACAACAACCGCAGCAGCAGCAACAACAACAACATCATCATCATCATCAGCAGCAACAACAACAACAACAACAACAACAACAACAACAACAACAGTCGCATGATCATCACGTGGAAGGTTATCACGCGTCACCTGCAGAAGGCGTACAGAAGGATGAGAAGGGTATAATTTTTGTTATCAGATTTATGATTCTCTTATTAATTTGCTCAGCAATCGTGAATTTTCTATGTTTGTTTTCTCATTTTGAAATGTATTTGATTCCCAAATGAACATGTTTGTTTGATAAGCG